CATACACACACACACACATACATACATACATACACACACACACACATACATACATACATACATACACACACACACACATACACACACACATACATACATACATACATACATATACACACACACACACACACACACACACACATACATACATCATGTTTATTTTCATTTCACAGTTTATTATTATTGCTGACGTGCATTACGCTATGTCAACGTGTGATTATTTTATGAAGGATTGCATGGGTGGATGGATGGATGAACGCGTAAATGGATGAATGAATGAACGAATGAATGAATAAATGGATGGATAGATAGATGGGTAAATGATTTAATCTTTTCTTGAATAAATGAAAGATCAAATAACAAATGAATTAATGAAAAACTTTAAAATGAATAAACAAACAAAAAATTATTAGAGGTTTAAATATTTATTGAATGAATGAAAGAATAAAAGAATGAATGAACGAACGAACGAACGAATGAACGAACGAATGAACAAAAAATAAATAAATAAACGCGCGAATGAACGAACGAAGGAATGAATGAAAGATAGAATCTTATATCTGGCATCAAGGCAGCCTAGCCAACCATTCATCAATGTTAACACCATCTTTAGTACGTCTTAAACAGAAGCCGTCTTCTTCTTTCTTCCTAAACATTCTGTCCATCTAACTTCAAAACCACAAATTTTAATAAATATTTAACTGCATATAATTAATTAATAAATTAGTATCAAAGTTTGTATAGTGCCTCTCTCGAAAAGACCTCAAGAGCGCTTTCTATGATGTACAATGTCGAAGTAATGACAGACGTGAATCCAACATCCCGCCAAGATCGTTCACCGGTGGCGCGAAATTATTCAATAAACTCAAACTTCGCAGCGTACCTAGCCAGATGTGTTGTATTTTCAAAACGTTTAATGCCGAGTTATTAGCTGACATCCATTTTGCCACAGTGTCAATCGAAGTCGATACATTTTGTTGAAAATAATACGACGAATTTTAACAATAACAATATTTTATTTGGTCACAAAATTTGATGAAAAAATCAAGGGCACGGGATGGCTGTGAGGAGTCTTTGAGACTTATCGAGACTTGAGACTATAGGACGAATTTGCGAGACAGAAGCCAAAGAGTTGAATATCATCCGCATATAAATGAAATTGTAGACCAGATTCTTAAACGACTTTAATAATATCAGCTGTGTATAACACAGACGACAGCGGACCAAGTACCCGATCCTTGCTGAACTCCTCGCGCCAATTCTGAACTAGCAACATCTGATCCATGTATCCCAGCGTTCACCGTTTGGGTCCTTGATGACAGATACGATGAGAA